AGTGCAGCTTGTGTATCGACATACATGATTGCAAGGAGTTTGGTTGCAGAACCCTACTTGAGACATCCGTACTTCAGAAGACTCCTCAAGCAGGCCAAGGCCATCACCACAAATCTGTTTACACATCAGTGGCTGATGATTCAGGAGTTTGATCTGGGCCAATGCGTCAGGGCATACAAGTTGTTGAACAACAAGATTACTCTCCTAAAGCTCTTGCCCCCACAGAAGAGATTGCCTTCTGCACGTAAAGAGGGCTGCCCTTGCAACGATCATAGATAGACTGCGCACATTGCCAAGCCAAAATCCACCCTGGACAGAATTTTGGGTGGACTCTGGATGGTCAGCTGTGCTTCCTGTTCCATGTACGCACCCAGCCTGCGCTGGGTCGGTGAAGAGAGCCACTATCGTGCCGAATGTGCTAAGGTGTGCAATAAGAACTGCTCATGTGCTAAGTCATTCAGTCCCATGCTACGATAGGCGTGCCGCTGCAGCGACTATCAAATCAAATGTAGCAGGAATGCAGGACATCGCGAACAACGCAGGTCAGCGACAGTTAGCAGCGACTTCAGGATAGATGATATAGGAAGAAAAAGCCGATGCAGTTTAACGTATAGCTAAAGCTGTTAACTTGAGCATATAACTTGTTGCTTAGAAATAGCAATGAACTTGTCTGTTTACACGACTATTCACTATAACATATGGCAGCTTTACTAGAAAGTTCAATTCTTTTAGTGCAAAGAGATTTTTGAATATGGCAGAAAAATGTATTACTGCGTGCAATTCATATTTTGTTGAAAAAAATTGTCAAACCTCATTTTTGGCTAAAATTGTTATGCAAATCATTATCAAGCCCATTAAATGTAGGCTATCATCTTGTAGGGAATTTAAATTCCTTTAAGATGATACAGCACACATAGTGAGAGGAGGTTCTATTCAGACATTATATCAAAAATGCCGTCAACATTAGACTTAGGACATAGTGGCACATTTTGAAAAAATGCGCCGCCATATTTTTTTCGAGCAGCATATTTTCAGGGTAGTCCACTGGGCAAGGTTGCATCAGGAGGTCCCTGACATGTTGATACCAAACAACCTTTAGCAACACCCCATGTCTGGTACAAACCTTGTCTTGTCCCCTGGTAAATACGGGTCGGCATTGATGGACACATGCATGGGGAATTGATTGAACATTAGTTCAACACGACGATGCAGAGTGAAGGTAATATCGAGCAATAAGATAGGCTACGACGGGCCGGCGAGGTGGTCGCCGACTACTAGCGCGGGATAAATACGTGTTATGACCCGCAAGATGAGGCGGCACTAGTCGTCGCAAGGACCGAAACAAACAATGTTCGGGGTGCGCATATAAGAGGGCCGATAGAGAGAGGAAGAATCCACATTACTCCTCTACTCTGTTGGTTTGACTGTCAGCGTTTATCTACGCTTTCAGCCTTACGCTTGCTGCTTGTCATCGTGTGTGTTTGCATTATGTCCGAATAAACTCTTTGTTGTACAGTTACTCTGCTAAGTTTGTGTTTGACTTTCTTGTCTTGGCTATTTACTCTCACTCTTACCCGTCTTGTACTTCACCTCTATAGTCTGCCTAAGGTTACAATAGCACAGTGATATGCGATGGTGACAACCGCTACTGGACGAATGTCCTGTTCCTATCCACAGGTAGGTTCAATTTTGAAAGTCAAAATTGCCCTTCACCCAACACCAGTACATAGTAGCACATTCTCATGCTATTGCAAATACTTGGTTTTATTTTTCCTGTATGCTTAGGAGTTGCAGATGGAACATTACGACGGAAGAATGGCTGCGACAGGCATAAGACAACCGCTACAATGGAAAGAACTACACGCATGCGTGAGCGTTACAGGAGCACCAAGTCCGGCCCTTTGTTTCCACACAAAATCGGCAAGGCATTTGGCCATTGACGGCAGGAACAAGAGATTGGTAGTATCAAAAGCAGTAGCGTCATAAGCCAAATAGACATATATTATAGTTCGGTTACAAGTCGTGCTGTTCAATTTAAATCCTAGATGTTTCATTTGAAAATAAACAAACATAATATTTATTATGTAAATTTCTTTCCCTCATTAAGTGGTTCACAGACATTACTTCTTTCGCTTCCAGAAGACTTCTTCTTTGCAATTATCTTGGGACGGCAAGCTATTTAATGCCATCAAACTACCTGGCGAAGACTGCACTAAGAGGTGTAGTGATACAGCAGCTATCGCTGACATGTACAGTTTCGTTGATGTTACTGTATAATCTGGATCACACTCTGTTCTTCTTTGTTTTTCTGTGCGTGTTGTTTATTGACTTGTTACTGGATTAAGCACACCTTTGCATTTAATCTCTTCATCACTGGTTTGATCGAAATGTGTAGTTATAACAGGAAAAGATCAGTACTACTATCGTTATATGAATATCCACCGTTAGTAATTTAATCAAGCGATGCATACAGGCGTAGAAGACGTTCACAGTAGAAGTATTCTGACATTCAATTACATCTCTCTTTTGGCAGAGTCAATATGACACATGCGTCCTGCCAATGAAAGTGAGGAAATTCAATTAGAACTCCTGCATCAATAGCCCAAACACTAGGAAGACATCGACCGCGCCACATTGCCGGACTACCTAGCACACACTGATCCGACGTTGCAACCGCCACTATGTAATTCAAGGAGCCGCCAATGGTCGCAAACAGCTGCTCAAACTCATTGACGCCTGCAGTGGATGTTAAACGTGTACTTTCAAATATTTCTTAAATTAATTGGCATGGTTGAGCATTGGAGTTGTATAGAATATATAATTTTTTCCTTGCCATCTCTATTTTGTTGTGCACAGACGTGATAATGAATCTTACCAGTTTCCAATCACATATAACATTTTACAGACAGCCCTGTCAGCACTACTCGAATGCAAATCCAACCAGCCGAGGATAAACCGCGATAGTGAGAGCGCGCGACAGGCAGCTGACAGTGATGGGCCCAGGTTAGACAGGGTTACAGCAATGTGTTTATACATGACATTCGCAATCCCCACCATATTTCTAGTAACTTGGGCTGCTATGTTATGGTAGATTTGTAGTTTGCGTGGCGTATGGCTCAACAGAATGAGGAAATTGGCATCATGGCGGCTGAGCATTTAGGTCAATAATAATAGTTGTAGTCATTATATCGTGCTGCATCCAAATGGTCTGATGTAAACACGCACTGAAACAAACAGAAAATGCATAGTCAGATTCTTGGGCCTTTTCGTCTCGTGTCTCCACATTTCTATAATCGTCACGCTTCCACCCTCTTCCACTTCGTGATCCTTCTCTTCCTCGTGCACCCGAATATCCACGTGCACTGGGTGCACTCGAACGTCCATTTACACTGGGCTGACCACGAACCTGCTTGGTATTGCATACGATTGTAAAATGTCCGATATGTCCACATTTATGATACGTCGAATTGCGTGCTGGGCAATTGGGGTCACGTGCATAATGGCCTTCGTTATTACAACGAAAACACTTATTCTGTCCGGCATTCGGGTTCTTACCCTTTTTGTTTCCTTCTGCGACTTCCATCGCTTGTGCTAGATCTTGCAATTTCTCCAGTTTCAGATCTCCTCCCCTTTCTAACAGCTTTCTACGCAGCACTGACGACCTACACTTGTCGATCACCTGATCTCGTATTTGCTCATATTTCTTGTCCTGAAAGTCACACATCTGTAACGAACTGGTCTATGGTCTCACCTTCGTCTTGCTTCATTTGTCTGAAAACATGCCGTTCATACGGAATGTTGACGAGAGGTGAGAAATACTTATCCAAATTTCCCATAGCTACCGTGTATTTGTCCTGCGAATCATCTCCTTCTGCCACTGGTACGTTCGGTAATGTGTCGAATAGTTCCTGAACGTCCATGCCTGCATAATGTAGCAACATTGCCTTCTTTTGAGGAATGTCCGTTACTCCTTTTGCTACCACGAAATACTCAAAGGATTTTCGCCAACGTTTCCAGCGTGGTGACACATTAGTCGAATCGCCTTTACAGTCAAACGGTTGTAAACCGGTAACCTCTAGTTGCAGCGCCATTATCGTCTTTCCCACAGTTTCTGCGATCACTAGAGTCTGTTTCTTTTATCCTCGTCGCCAATTGTAACGTATTAATAACGTTATTTAACACTAACACGAATTGAACAGGTTACAAACCAAGCAATGGCTAATACCGCCACTCTTGTTCTTTTATTTCTTACCCAGAATGCTCTCTTCCATTCAGGTTGCGTGTATATCACCGATCGCGGTCACATGCATAATAAAGCCTATCGCATCAGTGTCTAAGATAAACTCAACCCCCGCACGCGGGTATGCCAACACCGGCGCCGACGTAAGTAATACCTTCAAACTACTGAACGCCTCCTCACAAGACCTACTCCACTGGAAAGGTACGCTCTTCTTCGTCAGCTGCACTAGAGGATCCGCCAGGGCCGCGAAACCAGGGATAAATCGCCTATAGTAATTAGCAACCCCTAGGAAGCTCCGTACATCACCAACGCTGCCAGGCCGACCCCAAGACTGTACCGCCTCAAGCTTCGCAGGGTCACAACGAATTCCATCACTCGATACGACGTGACCAAGGAAGGCAGCACTTCTCTGAAAGAGCGTACATTTCGTGGGCTTAAATTTCATGCCGGCATCTGCAATACGACAAAAAACATCACGGAGGTTACCAAGAGCTACATCAAAGGTTTTACCAAAAATGATGATATCGTCTAGGTACACAAGACACTCTGTCCACAGTAAGCCCCGCAGCACACACTCCATCAACCTCTGAAAGGTCGCAGGTGCATTACACAATCCGAAAGCCATTACGGAAAAGTGGAAATGACCTCTCATAGACCTAAACGCAGTCTTCGCCGCGTCCTCCGGATCTATTTCCACCTGCCAATAACCCGAGGTTAAGTCTAGAGTAGAAAGCCAACTGGCACCGTCTAAGGAATATAGTTCTTTCCATTGTAGGTTGTCTTCATCCTGTCGCACCATTCTTCCGTCGTCATGTTCATTGCAACTCCTAAGCATCCAGTAAAAATATAAACCAAGTATTTGCAAAGCATGAGAATGTTGCTACTATTGTACTGGGGTTTTGGGTGAGGGCAATTTTGACTTTCAATTGAACTACCTGTGGATAGGAACAGGACAGTCGTCCAGTAGGGTTGTCACATCGCATATCACTGTGCTATTTTGTAACATTGACCGTACATTTTCTCTGTATTTGCATATTTCGTGCGTTTTGTGGTCCCGTGTCTGTCATTGATATTGCATTCACATGCGATTGATTAACTGTAAGTTGTTGTTGGAACTTGTGAGATATTTTGTGCATTTCAGGGGCCCCTACCCACTAAAAGATTTCCCCCCCCCCAAAAAAAAAATTTTGGCAAAATTTTGGTTTCCGAGAAAATAAAAAAATAAAATAAAAGAGATTACATATTTTATTAAGACAATACACACACAATATAACGGTGAAGTAAGCCTACTTATGGTTGTAGCTTGGTTTTGCGCATAGCAAAGCGAGTTGCATTAGCCGTTTGAGTTGGAAACGTATCAATGTACACACACAAAAACAATGCCTCCTAAGAGAGTTGCCAAAGAATCCGGAAGAGGAACCGGAGCAGGAAGTTCCTTTTTCTTCAGCCCTGGTCGAGATTCATCAACATGGTGTAAAGTGTATTGCGTACACAGAGTTTCTACGAAGTACGTACGCAAAGCTCGTAGGTGCGATTCATCAACGCAGCGTAGCACCTGCGTACGCGAATGTTGACACAGATCCAGTGTAAATCCACTACGCCGCCATCGTAGCTGCTGGTTGTACACGTGCGTGCGTGCGTGCGTGC